ATTTGTAAAGATGAACATAAGCCATAGATGATTAGCACTAGAGATGTTAATACTATAATCTTTAAATGGTTGTGCCAACACATTACAGATAAAGATGTACTTTAAATGGTAGAGGTAAATTAAAACTAAATACTTTTGACTAAAAAGACTGAGGATAAAGACAGATTTATTAAATAAAGTATAGAAAATTATGTCAGTAGTTTACCCTTTGAGCAGCAAATAGTACTGGGCCAGTGGCAATGCCCAGTTCCATGTCAGAACCCTTAGCGGGCTTACCAAGATCTTGGTGATTGCCCACAAAATTTAGAACGTCATCGATTAGTTGGAAAGCCATTCCTAAATGTCTTCCAAATTCGAAAGAAATTTCAACCACACCATTGCTCAATTTGGGTGTTGCAAGAAGAGCAATCTAAAAAGGAATATAAATTTTGAAGGACATACTGCTTTACAGCTGTTTGCCACGAGACTAGCAGTTTTCCTAAACGTTTTATTCAGATACATCTGAAAACATCTGGCATTATTATTAGCCATGGGAAGCTGCATTATTTCGCCTAAATAAATAAATAAACGTCAACAGCAGAAATGATCAGCAACAGACAAAGAATATACATATAATATTTGTGGAAAAAAATTTCATTACATTTTAAATTTGAACAAAAAAAATCCAATTTTGACAGCAGTCTTGCTAGACTCTAAAGAAATGGATATGAAAAATGTTCAAATTACTAATTCCAAAAGAATGCAGATGATAGTTAAAAAAAGAGCAGTAAACGAAGAATAAGATAACTAAGAGGTTTAAGTTCCATTTCCAAAGGCTTATAAGAGTTAATGACTAAATATTTATGAAAAAGCTTTTAGAGGCAGACAAGCTAAAACTAAAAAATTACCCTCAAGGATAATGAAAGGATGTGTTAAAATTCATTAATTAAAATGTGGGTATATTTGTAAAATACAGGGGAAATAAAAGTTAACAACTAGGATAAAATAGTTGCTAGGGCAAAAACAAAAATATGATATATGTAAGAAATGTTCCTACCT